ATCATCATCATCATCATCATCATCATCCTCCTCCACTGCCTCGACGTCTGCCATTGTGTTGTTTGCCTGGCACGGCAACATTGCACACAATCCTGACACACCGACAAACACCAACACTGCCACCGTCGACACCAGTGGTGAGGACCTGGTCCTCGCCTGTCCTCATTGCGACCGCACCTGCACCTCACACATTGGCATGATCGGTCGCTTGCTGATCCATCGCGTAGCGACGGGCGAACCAGTGCCTAGAGCACCAACCTACATCCGCCTTCGCTCTTCACACTGCCCTCGCACATTCATGCACCGCATGGGCCTATTCGGCCACATGCGTGTCTACGAGAGTGGAATAAACCGCAGCCCCGACACACCCAGCACACACATCACACCTACCATGCTTAGCCCCGCCCTTACTCAGTCGCCCTGTGCGCCCAACGCCGACAGCTCTATCACACCCAGTGCACATTGTACGCCCACCACGCTCCGGTCTGTCGCTCAGTGCGCCCACCTCCTCCGTAGCTAACACTGACATCACTGACCTCTCGTGTCTACACTGTCCCGAACATTCACCTCACGCATCGGCCTAGTCGTTCACTTGCGAACCCATCACACAGGGACTGGTGAACCAGTGCCTAGAGCACCAACCTACATTCGCCGCATCCGCCTCCACTGCCCACGCTGGCGTCGCACATTAATGAACCGCATGAGTTTATCAGGCCACATGCGCGTCCACGAAATCCTGCGGTAGATAACCACCGAATGCATCGCACCACCACCACCAACACCACCACCACCACCACCACCACATACTCCTTCACTGGCATCTCATCTGACATCAACAGGCATCTAATTGCCACCCCCCGCGCTAGTGGGAGAGGTGCGTCTTGACTCCGTCAGCATAGGTACCTCAAACCTGAGGCTATCACAGTGCGTCAAGCGCTGTGTCTGGGAAGGTTACCCAACTCTGTTCACGTCGTCCATCCGTCCGTCCCATGCAGTTCCCTTGCTGCATGCGAGATCCGAGTCCGAGACTATCACGCTGCGTCAAGAAGGCTGATGATT